CATGTATTTTCGACAAAACAATAACAAAAATCTCTAGTTTTCCTGATCTTATATAACTTTTTAAAAAATGAGTTGGGTGCAGAGCTCAGAATTCTCACATGAGATCATAATTTTTTGTTATACCATTTCACAATGTGTGTCCTAGCTTTATTTTGTTGTCAAGAAGTTTACATTGTTCTGTACTCAATGTTAAAAATTAATTCTGTAAAACTATATAGTATTCTTGTCACACTAATATAATGACACATGCTTGCTTTACTGTTAATATATTTGATATAGAGTGGAAAATGTTCTCAGAGAATGCAGGGATGGGGGGGGGGTAAATTCACTCAACATAATTAACTACAATTTATGTTGTTAATCGTTTTAGTTCAATTATCATGATACAATATCGACAATATGTACATCTGGGTAAGTGTTTAAAACGAGCATTTACACACTAAACATCAAACGGGTCATTGGTTATTGAGGAGAGCTGCAGACAACTGAAACATTGAGCTGAAAACGCATAATATTCGTATTAAATTTAGTGGTCATTAAATGGGTTGAAAAACTTCTAGGGACGTATACATGCACAGCAAGTGTTCCCTAACAATGAACCACAAAGTGTCAAACTTGAACTACCATTTATGAGAGAAACAAAATGATTTCTTTTAATATTTATATCTATTGACTTTTACAACAACTCGTGTACTAGTATATCAATCATCGTCGTTTACCACGCCCTCTTGCGGTGGCTTAAAACTGTACTATCTTTTGTTTTGTTTTTTCTACAGGAAAAACATAGCCTTGGCTTGCGAGAATGATACTTGGCCGCCTCACGTGGCTGCCCTGTGCTCTTTTGTGCCTAGCTGCAAGGATTTGATTTGGCTCCTGAAATCAGCAGAGATACTAACGATTATCTGACATCAAATCAATATGCCACAACATCATAAAGCCTGCATTCCACCCAGAGGTAAAAAAGAACACTTTCATTTCTCCAAGTCTCTGATATTGTTATTCTGCGTTTATAAAAAGCGTCTCGTATCATCTAAGGGTTTTGGGAAGAAATACACGTGCTCTGAAAAGTAGCCGCACCCAAAAGTGGGAGTACGCCCTCTATTACAAGTTGAGATGAAAAACGCGTGCACTGATACAGTATTCTATCAATTCAGTATATTTTATTTCGGCTCGGGGTTGGAGCCCTCGACGGAAGGCGCTACTCACGCCACCGTGTCAGGCTACCACATGAGTAGCACCACATAGCCGTGTTGGTGGCACATACTTATTCACGAGAGATCTGAGATATATTTGTGTATATCATTTGAAGTACTGGAAGCGAAAACTAAATTATATTCATATCGAATATACATGTATATCATTATTCTATTGTTTACTAATATTTATTTTATCCATATACAAATCATGTACAGGATTACAATATTTAATTCTAATTGTATGTTTTTCTTTCTCAGATGTGTACCCAGGTGTTACCACCCTCCCCCCTCTTCGTCTTAGATTAGTCTGTACTATACTGGTCTGTACTACGTATCTCAGGCTACTACATTCAAATGGTGATCTGAGACTATATGTAGATGGGACCCAAAGTTGTCAGCGCGCCCTCTAATAAAGTTAATGTGCTAATAAACGGCTCCCTGAATTACACACCACATGGAGATGGAATAATTTTAGTGATTTTTTTTCTGTTTCTCTTATCTTATAGCTACATTTATGTCACCGGATTCATTAGTTTATTTTTAGTGTTTATCTTATCGATTTAAAACTCTCATCGATGCAAATTTGAATCCCTGATTCGCCGATTACACATCGTGATTGACAACTCCCTTTGATTATTCACCTAATATACGTCCGTTGTTTAGTTATCTGATTGGGGCCCTTCAAAGGTTTATTAAATGTTATCTGATTGGGGCCCTTAAAAGGTTTGTTCAAATGTTATCTGGCACCGTCTCTCTTATTATTCGTTCAGATTGGCTATTCTATTCAATATTCAAATCCTCTGAACTTAGCCGTAACCAGTTTAAATAAGAGTCGTTATACTAAAGAATCGGTACACAAAAATGCCAATTACACCATTACACAATGAAAAAACACACCCATTGGAATAACGGTATGATAAGGGGGTTATTCCAACCACATCCAAACCACATCACGACAAGATGCATTCTTTTATGTTCTTTCATTATCTCTCAATAATTACAAGTGAACATTCTTTTTTTTTTTCAAAATCACTCAAATTTATTCTTGTTCTTCATAATTTATCTTATAAAATTCTTGTAAATATCAATTGTTTAAAAGGAAAATTGTACTTGATTGCTTATCTTACATATATTATCTAGATGTGTCGTCACAGTTATAGTGCATTATGTCATCATTAAGCTGTGTATCACGTGACACGTATCATTAAAGACTATAATAGATTTCCCTGAAAAATGTCTCTTATCTTCGGCGTCTTTCACATAGAGCCAGATCCCATTCTCGGTCGCATATGATCATGACGATAAACAGGATGTTAGCTTCTTGTTGTTATGTGGGCCGGAATTCATAACATCCTGGCTAAGCGTACACTTAAACGAAATTACACCGGAACTTCCGCTACCCATTACCGTTGTAAAAAAATGTTCCGGGTAATGTCCGGGTAACGTCGAATACGTCATCGCGCCATCTAGCGGCATAGCGCGTGTGTGACGTAAGTCGGCGTGCGGTCACCGTTCGTTGTTTTGATCAGTAGTTGTTACTAATTAAAATACTGTTTGTTTTTAAGAGATTTGCTAAATTCTAAGAGACGAACGACTCCGCAACCTTTTTCATGACAATCCCTGACGTCACAAAAGTGTTTGGTCGCTAGATGGCGCTACATATATGAACGACGCAAAAAACTTACAAAGGATATAGCCATCGATATAGAGTGTAATTTACATAATTTCAGGATATCGCAACGACATAAACTGACTATATACTAGTATTTTTCTGTGTGTACAAAACAAGAAAGTATACGAATATAAATAAATAACAAATAAAAAACAAATAAAAAAATACAAATCAAAGGACGCTGAATAAAACAAAAACAAATGGACAATTGGCACATGGACATGAATGACATTAAAATTATACATTGCTGAAAAATTTGCAAACTCAAAAAAAAAATAATAAAAAAACAGTGGAATGTCATTTTAATCCAGGAAAAGTTCAAAGTTCAACTTGAATTCCAAAAGAATAATAAAACGTAAATACGTCTAGGAGAGAACTAAAAACAGAACACGTGACAACAAGACACGTGACTGCTACGTTAGTTTTAGTGATTTACTAATTGAAACCACAATATTGACATCATCACTCGCGTGTCTCACTGTCAAAATAATTGCGAACAAATTCAAGTTTTCAGGTGACCTCTGACCTATGTAATGCTGATAAACATATATCTCAGAATATTTGTGGTCAAACTAATTTCTAGATTCAAACTATGTCAATGAAATCAGCATACATGTGTATACTGTCATCAAAGCTAGTGGAATTCGTGTTGATTTGCTACACTGCGAATTTACCTGCGATTATTGTATGTAAAACGCTATGATATCATAATGTTGAACACATCTAAACTAAAACAAATATGAACGACTGAGACAGTTACGGATATTTAAATCCAGAATCGAGCGTACGTTGGTCATCATGGCAGCGCTGAAGGTATAAACAAAGACAATAGAAAATCTCTTTCTAATGTCTTTGGTATAAATGACACACGTACTTAAAGGGTGGTGGTCGTCGCGCTGCGCATGTGCGACATTTGTGTTGATAAACATTGATTTTCCCACAATCCAATGCGCTCTTCTAAAGGAAATCACAAGTATGAGGTTTGACCTGGGCGCGACATGCACTAATTACCGCCGATAACTCCTTCGATACCTTCTAATCACCTAAAAAATATCTAATTAAAGCTTGGTAACGTCTCAGTTTGTACTCGTTGATCTGCGCAACAGTCAAAGTCGCCATCTTTGTTTATAAGAAACACATATATCTCGCGCATGCGTGACGCGTCGACTACCGCCCCTTAACAACTAGAATATATAGAAAGTTAGTTGGAAGTTAATTTTAAAAAAGTCTGTTTTTTTTGCATTGCATTATTGATTTCATTTTTCACAACAGTTGGAATTTATGAATTGTAAAGGCAGTGGTGAACACTAGGTCAAATGCATGAATGAATTCAGGGGTGCCAATCAGTACCGTTGCATTATGGGTACAAGTGGGACGGTAGTAATTATTTGTAATATTTGAACAGTGTGGTAAACGACATATTCCGTGAATCAATATGATTAACAGGAAATGACATCATGAGATGACAAAAATGTGCATATTATTTAAAAATTTTAAATGACTTGATATTTTTAGCCATATTGCATTTTGAATAAATCCTGCTTGAATACTTATTGTTCTCATTGTTTTGAAAGATGCAAATTTATATATAAAAATTATAAATCTTAGAGAACATTTGGACAAGACCGTGGAATTTTTACTAAGCTCGATTCCGTCTAGCCTGACAAGT